TTGTACCATCATACTGCACTATCAGATCATGTTTTCCTAAATTATCAGCACTAGATGATCATTCCAAATTCCCCCTCTACCATAAAAAATTACACTTCCCATTCACTCTTCCTTACATGTTGTTGAGGATGTCAAATAATATGACTATGAAAAAAAAAAAAACCCTTTTAAAATATTTAAAATAAGGCTTATGTTAAATACATAAATTCTCCACAGAATATGCATAACATTATGAAAAATTCACATGAGAATTAGAATATTCCCAAGGTTGGAAAACAGCCCAGAAAGACGAAGTTCCTGATCTCTAGAATTAGCAAGTCAGAATTTTTTTGTTACTTTTTTTACAAGGGATAAGAAGATTATTTTGTTTTTACAGTAGTCTTAGAAAACCGTGAGAAGTTCTGTCTTTAGAAAGCTGTACTTTGAGTCCTTTTGTTAAATTTAATGAAATTTTTTACTTTAATAACAGACTAGAAAAATACAATCATTAGTTTGCACGAGAAACATGAAAGTTTCCACTAACAAACATGAGACTAAAATCTTAATTTCTAAAAAAAACCCCTCAAACCAAAACCCAAACCCACCCACTTTGTTCAGCAATGTTTATTGCAAGAAATTTCCAAGTAAATCTCCATCACCTTCCTTACTTTCCAGTCATACTAATACCCTCTCACTGCCCTTAGCTGTGCCAAGCCTTTGAATTAAAATAAACATTCCCTAGGAGTTGTGAAACTAAATGCTACTCAAAACTTGAGACAGCAGGCAACTGTCAAATCTGCTTCCCACTAGTTCTGTAATTGCTGCTTGGGAGAACTGAGCAGGAAACAAAATTAGCCCTATGATTATTATATGGAAAGATTATTTCTTCTGACAGTATTAAATCAGTCCAACTCCAAATCATGCATGGTGAGGGAAAGGTAGATAGGTGGAAAATTTGTGTGTTCCCTCCCCCCAAACCCCTTCTCAGCAAGTAGAAAAGAAAAGCTTCTGAGCAGAAAAGTATGGATCTTCCTATCCTGCAACAATCAGAAGCCAGGGAAGGAGGTTTAGGAAAAATGCAAGAGGAAAAAGAATCTATACTTATAAAGACAAAAATAACCATTCTGGCAATTCTGATTCAATGCTCACATCATATATATTACTTATACCAGCCTTTTTATCAGCTACAGTAATAGGAAACATCTATGACATACAAAAAGAGGCTATAAAAACACCTGTATCTGCTACACAAAATTGTAATTAAAAAAGAAGACTAAAAAAAACAAAGAAAGGAAAGAACAAACAACAATTACAGTTTGCTCATGCTTCTTAAGGCTAGTGTAAGGCTTTCAACAATAGTCACAATAAACTGGACATCTTATTAGACAAAAAAGAGTAGCTGCATTTATGAAAGAGCTCCTAAAAGTTTCTGTGGCAAATCAAAATACACCTTTTTCAGTCATCCACATGGAAATTTCACCATGTATATAAATTTAGAATTTACTTTAACATTCTCCTAATGAATGAAATACCGAAATAGGACAGAAACATTCCCAACAACTTGTTCCAGATATTAAATGGTGACTATCAGTCACATTTTAACTTTAGCAGCAGTTCTGTCTTACATTTGGTTTTTCAGTTGAAGACTAATACACCATGACAAAAACCCCAGATCTTTCACAATGCAAGCCCTCCAAATATCTAGAGGTAGATTTTCTAATATAGCCCACTTAAGAATGAAAAGCAACCCAAAACTGAGCTCTCTAGTCTGCTCAAGGTCATAATACAGAACAGTGAAAGAGCTTTCTATTTTTAATAATGCTTTTTCAAGACCTGCTTATCAATTCCACACTTTCAGATCATGGCTAATATGAAGTTAGTAGATTAAAAAAAGCTTATTTTAGAAAAGCTTCCAGAAATTATGCTAATGAATATATGAAATACTAATACTATTATACATTCTTAATCTCTGCCCTGAAACGCAGGTACAATACAAGGAAAATATCCTGACAAAAAGTTAGTATACAATTGCTGAAGAAAAATTTAGTATGTTCTTTAATGAAGCCAAGAGCTCCCCCCCCTACAATTGTATCATTAAACACAGAGTAAAGCAGGCAAAGAGGAAATTAATTTCTAAGGAAAAAGTCCTGAAGGCATCATTCCCTGGGTGGCAACAGATGTGATTCACAACAGAGCAGTAGTTTTTTTATTTTGTTTTTGAGAAGCAGATGCAGATCTTTCTCATCATATATTACTAGATGGTAATTTGGACCGATATCAACAATCTAAAAAGACCAAAACATAAAAGCAAGAAAACATTTACAGCATAAAAATTAATAACTTTTTGAGAAATTGAGAGAATGAGTAACTTTTAATAAAAATATGAGTACTTGGTTTGAGCTATTTGCTTAAACAGCAAATAAAAGGCTGTGTAAATGTGAACATTTCTATGGAAACTTTAAGGGAGATCAGGCCCAATGCTCTTAATAATGAGACTGTTGGCAACAATCTGGAGATATAA